TTAATAGTAGTTATTGAACTATAAATTAGACCTTATTCCTCGTGAGAACGATACTCATAGCTCACAAATCTTATTACTTGTACAAGGATCCCGTATGCTTGCGGGTTCAACGCGAACAGGAATGATGAGGCGGAAGACACAAAAAGGGAAGATGACTGCTGGATCTGTTCGACGTGGCAGCTTCTAAATTCTCATGGCATTCACTAATAATGGGCATATGCAATTCCGACAAAGGCTCTAAGAGCTCAGAAGAAGGATATGTAGTTGACTTATGGATGCTGAGTTTAAGTTCACCTCGTATGTCGGCTGGGCATGGTATTTCATATCAGTATCTTTGAAACGAAGGTAACTTTTTCTTTGACTTTTGAGCTCTACGATTTCGTGTATATCATAATACACTCTATTATTAGAGCTTGTTTCAGTCATTCCTAAAAAATGGGGGATGAAGAAAGTTAGCAAAAAAAAAAAAAAAAATTAATGGGCAGTAAATTTTTTAAATTCGTTTATTATCTAAATTATGAGCCTCCCAAAATATGTAAATAGTCTCAACCCCAAAGTGTCTTGGATGGTCGAAGGAGCGGTCATTGGTCCCAAACACAAAGTGCATTGGACGGTCGAAGGAGCAGGTCCTTGGTCCTAAACACAAAGTGTCTTGGACGATCGAAGGAGTCAACCCTTGGTCCCAAACACAAAGTGCCTCGAATGGCGAAAGGTGGCAGCCATTGGTCTTCAATGTGCATGAAAAAAAGAGTTTGCGATTTTGAGCAAATATTTTTCTGAACCCGTAAAGTAATCGCAGCACGAAATTTTACTCTACACCAAAAAAACCCCAAATCTCAAAATTTTTGACTTGTTCCAAAAGTTGAATCCCTGAAAATAAAAATGAAAAATGTTAGTTCCAATCTTATAACAACCATACTTTTAACAAAATGTTACTATTCATGTGAACAGTGTCATACACTATTCATGCAGTTTTCAACCAAAAAAACTGTCACTATTCATGTGAACAGTGTAAGTCAACGTTGTCTTGCAGTTTTCAAAATAAAACGTGTGAAAAGTGGTAGAAAAGAGAAAAGAAAGAGAGAGAGATGAAGAAAATTTTGAAAAGAAGAGAGAAAAGATCTTGTTTTACCTTTTGTTTGCAAGTTTAACATATTGGTCTCTAAATCTCATTATTCGTTCATATAAATATGTAGGTATCGGGTTTCACTTAAACTCAATTTATCATAAAACATAAAAGTTTTTTTAAAAAATAATAACATCAAGTAAGTTAGAAAATTGTGTAAAATAAATGAATAATCGAATAAAGGTTACGTAAAAAAATCGAAAATTAAGATTTATTTATTTATTTATTTCTTAATAAATAAATAAATCTTAAGGGGACATTTGTAGATATAAAATAATAATAAATAAATAAATAAAATAACAAATAATGGGTTGGGTCTACTTAAATAATTAGCCCAATTAAGTTTACTAAATGGGAACAATACATAAATCATTTATCTAAGAATTACATTTCAAAAATAAAAAACTTCAATTTTTTTTTTCAAAAATCAGGTGTTAAATCAATTAATTAAATATTTTTAGTTATAATATAATACAATTTTTCTAATTTATTAAATTTCAAATCCAAATCATTCTCTCTATCTAGTCTCTATCCTCTTCATACCCCTTCCCTCCATTGGAGGCGACCATGTACTCCGGCGGCCGCTCCGGCGACATTTCCCGCGATCTCTCCGGCTCCGGCTAGGGGTGTCCAAAAGCCCCGAAACGAACCGGACCGGACCGGACCGAACCGAACCCGAACCCGAACCGAACCGAACCGAGCGGTTCTTCATAAATTAAATACACGAACGGGTACCCGAATCGAGAAACGATGACTTTGGGTTGGGTTTTTGGTCTAAACCAAGAACCGAAGAATCAAATAAGAATCGAAACTAAATAATTTTTTTATTTTTTATATTGAATTAATTAAATTATTTTATTTTTTTTATACAAATTAGCAAATTAATTAAATAAATTAGATTATTTCATAATTTTAATTTTAAAACCCAAATCATTTTTAAAATCCATTAGCCCATTTTAATTTGAAGCAAATGAATATACTTTATGGAGTTTTGCTGTAATATTAATATCTACTTTTTGGTATTTGTATGCATTGAATTAATCTTATTGGACGGCTAGTTATGTATATGTTTTTGAATTTGGCTACATTAATTTGTAAAAGTTACGAATGAAATGTCATTAGTTGTATTTATGTAGTGTTGCGGAAAATATTAAAAAATTTAATTATGGTACGAAACCGAACGGAACCGAATGGAACCAAACCCGAACGGTTCCATAATTATATTTGGACCGACGGATCCATTTATTAAATATCCGAAAGTTTTTGGTCGATTCGAGTCTCTTCAGAACCGAACCGAACCGAACCGACCCACGGACAGCCCTAGCTCCAGTGACAATTCCGGCGACGCTCCGACGACTATTTCGACTTTCACCCCGACGCTCTCTCCGGCGGCTATTCGCGATCCCTATGGCAAACTGCTCCAATCACCACTCCAATGCATGCTTCGATCAACCTACCCACCCCATCCACCCATTCCCAACTTCCAAAAAAATTTCAGAATTTCAAGTTACAATCGATCACAACTGGTCACGACCGGTTACAATGAGTCACAATTAACCGGTCACAGTCGGTCACAAATGATCACAATCGGTCACAATAGGTCACAAACAGTCACAACGAACTACTCAGTAGTGAAATCGTGATCTGGTCATAGATCAAAAAAATGTTCACCGACACCACCAACTCCGATCCAGCACTAGAACTTTCGGCCACCGAACCACCACCACAATCAACAGAAACGCATCTATACCATTTTGCAACCCACCAACAACCTCCTTCACCACTAAACAACCACTACCACCTCACCACCACCATCTTCCACAGTCCCGGCTCCACTTCCGCTTCTCCTCTTCGATCCGCTTCAGCAGAGCGGCGTAATCCAACTCCCTCTGGACATAAACTCGATTCGCCTTCTTATCGACCTTTTTCATGCTCTTCTCAAGCTCCTTCTGTTCCTGTTCAGCCAAGCAGCGTGCCTTGACCTTTTTAGCGGCGTGCTCAACTTTCTTCTAGGCTTCATCCTCACGCTGCGCGACTTAGCCCCTTTGACTTTGCGCCAGTACTGATCTTCCTTCTCTCGACTTTAGGAATCTTTACGAAATATTTTTTGTATATTTCGATTGGGGGAGATTATTAGGGTTTGGGGTTGGGGGAAGAGGAAAATGATGAAAAAGCACCTGATGCCTTCGTCGGCGAAGAGATGCCGGCGTTGAAGATGAGTGAAAGATGAGAGACACGGTGAGGAAGAGAGGGAGTGAAAATAAGAAGTGGGTTTGGGGAATTCTATTTAACACCTGATTTGTGAAAATAAAACTTAGTCCCCTTTTTTTTGAAATGTTATCTTTAAATGCAGGTTTTGAGGTAATTTTCCCTTACTAAATTAAAGCCTATTAAGACCCAAAAATTTTTAAAGGCCCGTCTCACTCTTTCAAAATTCACAATTATTTAATTATAATCAATTCTAAGTAAATTAATTGAGTGGTTACCCATAATTATAAGAGCCGTGATTGGAGTACAGGAACTCCAATCACAGGGCTCTGCCCGGCCACACACAGCAGGTGGGGCGGGGCAAATTTTTTTTTTTAAAATCGCCCCCACATGTGAGAGGCCTGTAAGGCCTCGGTAAGGATGAGCTCTGTACTCACGGCTTATTCCTAATTATAATGCAAGAAGATCGATTGCATAGTTAACTGTTGTGGGCCCATAATTTGTCATGTATAAGTTGTAACCCACTTGAAATAGTGGTGCAACAGCCAACAAGTTTATTGCTGCAAGTATAGGAACGTGCAAAATTGTCTATGTACTATAAGCTTTTGACGCTAAGAAAAGTCAACATGCATTAAGTGGTAGTAAAAATATAGCGATACTCATCAATTAGTAGATAAAATCAGAAGCCAATTAGAAAATCAAATGAATAAGAAAGATGTACGAAAATGCGCATAATTTTTAGTTATGTTGTTGAATTTTCGTCCGTGAGTATAATTCGAAAGCGTTTTTCGATATATATTTTTGTTGGATGACAATAATGGACTTCGCCAATGTTGTCAAAATTTTGGAATTGAATTCCATCGTTTAGGGGTTTATTTAAGCTTTTGCAAATTTTTTAGTATTATTTGAGCTTATCTCCAGAATTAGGATCTCAATATGCTTAAGATTTGTTTTGAGTTTATAAATACGTGTCAATAATGTAAAAACATTACATTCCTTTTTTTTTATTAATAATATATATCAATTTTTCTCATTAATTGATGGATTCCAACATTTCTCACATCACTTCGAGCGAAATTCAAGTAAATATCCGTTCGTGTGTTACGAACAAGACCATTTCATTATTTTATTCAAGTTTTTTGTCCCGCGCCGGTCCCTGTTTGACTTTCATTTATTAAAACTCATTTTTTTTCAAACTTATTTTCAACAACACATTATATTGAACTCACAATTTTTATCAACTTTTTAATTACATATTTCATCAATTTTCATCAATTTTTTTTTTTTAGAAAATAATGATTTAAGGGCATATTTTCTCATTAATAATTTTGGCCTCTAGGGTTCAAAATCAAATTTTTGTAAATTTTGATAAAATTTGATGCAATTGATGGTTGAAAAAATTGTTATCCATCAAATATATGGTTGACACTTATTGTTGACTTTAACTTACATCAGAATGCTTTTAACATTTAGACAAAGTGTTTTAAACATGTACAGAGAGCATTATTCTTGTAACATAATTGTTCATTGCTGCATAAGAATGAAGACATGGACCACATATTTTTGCCAGTGATCTGCCAATTAACCCCTCAACAACACCCCCTTGGTTCTATATAATGCAAAGGCTGACAAGAATAAGAGCACACTATACTAGAGTTAAATTTTACAGTGTAGAAAAACCAAAAATATGGAGAATCAAACTTCTGATCATGTAATTGTGTTCATGGATCATGAACAAAATTGCAGTAATGGCCAGTCCCTTGAATCACAGCCAGCAGTTGCTCCCTACACAGTAGCAGAAACCAAGCCACCCCAGCCCCCTACAAGAGTTCAGTCCCTACGCCGTCTGAGTTTCTCAAAACCCAAAGCTCGATTTCTTGAGTTTACACATCCAGTCAACCAGAAAATCATAGCTGAATCCAATGAATTCGAACCCTTGAAAGAAAACGAAAGTTTTCCAAGTGATAGTGATGAGGAAAGTGACGAAAATGATGAGGAATTTGATGAAGGAGAGGGAGGAACTGTGAAGAAAAAACTCCTGAAGAAGAAATTCAAGATCAACTGGAGGATTTTGATTGAGTGGATATTTTTTTGCATCATAACAACTTGTTTGATATGTTCCTTAACAATTTCCTCTCTCAGGAACCAGCTCAAATGTGGGCTTGAGCTATGGAGATGGTGCCTAATGATTCTTGTTATTTTCAGTGGCCGCCTTGTCTCTGGATGGATAATTCGAATCAGTGCTTTCATCATCGAAAGAAACTTCATGCTTCGCGAAAAGGTTCTTTACTTTGTCTATGGACTCCGCAAGAGCATCCAGAATTGTGTTTGGTTAGGCCTTGTTCTCCTAGCGTGGACAATTATATTCAGTTACAAGCTCCACAAGAAGAACAAATTATTGCAGAAAGTTTTCGAAGCCCTGGTGGCAGGACTCATAGCTGCTACAATTTGGCTCATCAAAATAGTATTAGTGAAGAGTTTGGCCTCTTCGTTTCATGTCACTACATATTTTGATCGCATGAAGGAGAGTGTTTTTCATAACTATGTTCTGGACATACTTCTGGGGCCGCCCATGGATGAGGTGAAATATGAGGAAGAACACCACAAGGATTTGATGGTTTCGAAATCGCTCCCAGCAAAGATGAGGCCAGAATCTCGGGCTTTTTCAAAATCGAAGAGGGTGGGAACAAGGAGGATAGATATTGAGAAGTTGAGGAAGCTGAGCACCCAGAGAACGGCTTCTGCATGGAGTGTAAAGAGGTTGGCAAATTATATCAGGTCATTTGGGCTGTCTACTATTTCTAAAACTGTTGATGAGTTTGGAAGAGCCAAGGCCGAGAATATTACTAGTGAATTGGAGGCAAGGTACTGTGCTAATAAGATCTTCAAGAATGTAGCCAAACCAGGTGCCAAGTAAGTGTCTCTCTCTCACTCACTATCTTTTTCTTCTGTGTTAATGATAACTATTATTATTGATTTCTCATATTAATCAAGAATTTTTACATATGCATGTAGAGCTGATCAATTTTCCCTTGTCAAAGTAACTAAGAATTGGACTATTAATAGGCTCGAGTTGCTTATTAGAGTCCCTGATCAAACTAGAAGTTGGCTAAGGAGCTGACACTCTTTATGTTATTACGGTGAATTCCTACCAGAGCTTTTATAAAAGCCTTTCATATGCTACTGTGGATTGAACTAACTATTACAACTTTTCCCCTTTCACATGTCCAAATCCATAATAGGAATTAGGGTACCTGGGATTAAGATTCCACAAATGGAGTACATCATTTCATATTGGTAGTGGAAAATTCACTTGGCTCCTTAGTGGCACAAATCCTTTTGTTTAGCACGCGGATATAAACTAGTCGCAGTGGATGTGATTGAGTCTGCAACGAAGAATTCACGTCTGGCCTATTCATGACCACACGTGTTAGTTAATGTTTTCCCAATTTGTTGTGTAACCTGTCACAGCCATGATTAGACTGCGTGACGCTGAAATATCACCACATGTTTAATTAGGACTACCACAGGAGGAAGACCTCAGATAGTGCAGGTCAACATCAGATGCCAACTTCTGCACATAAACTATAATTTGATGATGAATTTGAGCTGAAAATTGTTACTTTTTATATAGGATAACAACCCTTTCAATTTTAAGGTCCTCTTGTTCCATATGGTGGCGTTCTGTTTGTCTTTGTGTCCCACATTTCTCATAATCAGGCTAGTCTATTATTCAATAACCAATGCTAGTGGAGGCTGCATATATGATATAAAGCTGCTAGCCGTTGACATAGTAAAATTTGGCCCACACACTACCTTTATAGTTAGAGACACATTGGATTCATTTATGGGTTCTAGCTAGATCGTAAAGTAAGCTAAACATGTTGTTCTGATGACGATATTTAGCCTTATTGGAATCTCGATTTTGAGTTATGGTAGCAAAAAGAAAAAAAAATGGTAATGCCCATTTAGAGATAGACAAGTGGAGAATGTGTAGATACAATATTTGAGACTCGTTCAATTAAATTCTCAAGTCTAGAGAAAATATACAGTGCGTGAAGATTCAAGAATTGAACTCGTAATTGTACTTTTTATTTAAATCCTAAATGCACCTCTTTAGTGTACTTCACTGAAGTTCTATGTTAAACACAGAACACGAATTTTACCCTTTTTTGAAGTTTAAAAGTTTTTAAGACTTGTAATGATGACTACAACTGTTATCTAAGTGAGTGTCACGGTCGTGAACTTGTTGAACTTTCATTGATCTGGCAATTCCTTTTCTATTTAGCCTCTAAATATTTTGAATGTAAATTTCACCTTCTTTTCACTTGATTAGGTACATTGAAGAAGAAGATCTGATGAGGTTCTTGAAAAGAGTTGAAATCCACACTATATTGCCACTTTTTGAAGGTGCATTGGAGACAGGCAAGATCACTAAGTCTGCTTTCAGAAACTGGGTGGCAAGTCTTTCTATTTCCCACTTTCTTTCATTATAATTAACTCCTTATATCAACCATATTTTCTTGAACAGATTAAAATTAATTATGTGTTAATTATAAGTACTTCAGGTTCGTGCTTATCATGAACGAAAATCTCTTGCGTGTTCCCTGAATGACACAAAGACAGCAGTTCAACAGCTTCACAAACTAGCAAGTGCAGTTGTAAGTGTGATTATTGTGGTGGTATTCGTTTTGGAAATGGGTTTGGCCTCAACAAAAGTAGTAGCTTTCATTATAACACAACTACTACTTCTGGGATTTACTTTCCAAAACATGTGCAAGACTATTTTCGAGTCAATTGTCTTCGTCTTCGTCATGCATCCATTCGACATCGGAGATCGCTGTGTCATTGATGGTGTTCAGGTAACACTTCTCCGAATTAATTTATTGTTTCACCTCGTGGGGTCAAAGTGGGTTGAGCTGTCTAGTAGAGGGGTGGTCCATCGTGGGAAAAGACTGACACATCAGGCTCATAATGTGAGCGCAGGGCCCTCGTGGCCATGTCCAGGCCTCGTCTTTCAATAGACGGTCAGCCCGCCTTGAAAAAATGGGTTGCACAGGTCTTTGGATGGGCAGTGCCAACTTGACTCGACTGCACTGCATCCCTAGTTTCACCTTCATCATGTAAAGGGATTTTTTCTAAGTCGTGATTGGCATGACAGGAAAAATAATAAAGCAAGCCTGCTTGATACGTTGGATTTTACATGATCAAAGAGAAGAAGAACATGTTAAAATTTGACAGATAATTCTTTTGTGTCCTGTCAAGTCTAATGTACTAAATATGTAAAAAGTATACAAGTCAATCATAAACATCAGTTGTGTCAAGTGCGACTAACATTGATAGAAATCATCTCATATGGATGTGTACTATTGATATGCAGCTGATTGTGGAAGAGATGAATATACTGACAACCGTATTCCTTCGATATGACAATGAGAAAATCTACTACCCTAATGCTATTCTGATTACAAAACCAATCAGCAACTTCTATAGAAGCCCGGAAATGTGCGATGCAATTGATTTCACCATCGATCTCTCCACATCGATGGAGACAATTAATGCACTCAAGAAAGCCATACAAATGTAAGATTCTCAAACTTAGTTGATGAATTCGTCGTTTTTGGTGATGGATAAAGTTCGATTGATTGAATTGATCATATGATGCAGGTACATTGAGAGCAAGCCTAACTACTGGAACCCTAAACATTCAGTGGTAGTGAAGGCAATTGAGAATGTGGATAAAATGAAAATGGCTGTTTCTGTTCAACACACCATTAACCATCAGAATTACGGTGATAGAAATGCCCGTATAACAGAGCTTCTCCTCGAGTTGAAGAAGATTTTCGAAAGTCTCAACATTAACTATCATCTTCTCCCTCAAGAGGTTCACCTTACACAATTCAACACGAACAATTCGAGGATGCCATTGCATTCATGAGCCACATGTTTGCCACTGTACGAGATTAGACATTATAATGACTTATTGTTTTTCTTGTACCGCTTGAGAAAATATGTTTCCAACCAATAAAAGTTCAACGATAAAATTAAGTTAATTAAACTGTTCTTAATTTCATTTAAGTTACTCTGAGTTGTAGAATTTGATCTTGTCGACTGAGATATAAATGATTCCATCAGATGAGGATCAGGAAAGGAAACAAGGACTAAAAAGAATTTTCATAATCATGGTATAGACTGTAATAAACTAATGATCAAGGAAAAAACAGCATATCAGAATGAAATCTCTGTCTGAATTCATTGTAACTTAAAAATCCTAGAGTCGGATAATTTTTGGCTTAGTCGTTTTAGCATTATGCTGGTGAATTCACTGTGCCGAGTCTCCATTCTGCAAGCCCTGATGCAAAAAATGGAACACGGTTCCATGTCCGTGGAGTTCGAGGTTTCCATTACATAGTATCAGAGGTATTGAGTTTGTATTCTCTCCCGGTTAGTTTCCCACCAGAGCTTCGCATGCACTTCGCCAAATCTTTCACGGCTGCATCAAATAAGCACATTCATGGACAAGGGTTAGCAGCAAAAAACTTTCATCGAGTTCATTTGTGAAATTTTTACAGGAATGCAGAAGTTAATTACCTAAATCTGACACGCCGGAGCTCCCTAGATCCATCAGCCAGTTGTCTAATGGTAATAAATACCCCAGGTTCATCCTGTTCTATCCATTCTGATTCAATGTCACTTGCATTGCTTATAGAAACTGAAGCCTCGTCTCGGGAGGAAGTAGTTGTTCTTGATGCATCCATAGACGACATTTCACCCTTTGGGCCACCAGCCGTGTAAGCACTCGATCCAGGATTGTAATGTTGATTAGCCGCAACTTGAAGATGGTCAGGAGGTTTGTACCTTGGAGTTGGAGTCCATTCTCTGTTGAATGATGGAGTCATCCGAGGACTTTCCATGGCAGAACCGAGCTTTGAGTAAGTAGAATCTCTCTGAGCAATAGAAGTCGAGAGTTTCGATTAGTTTACATACAGATATGTACAACAAATTAAGCCTCGTTCTCAATTAAAAAAAGCAATGCAAGAATGTAAATGTAATTTACTCCGTCCTCAGATCTTCCGGGAGTGTTGAGAGCTTGCTGGTTAAATCTCTGAACATTGTAGAGCTCCATTATTCTATCATAATTCTCACCCCACCATCTCTGAGCTTGCCATTTATTGAACATCTCCCGGCTTCACATTTGAAATTGACATTAGCATGATATTGAATCAAACTTAATATGGATCCCAAGACAAATTATCAATATATATAGAACAATTCAGATACTGATATGACGATGAGAACTTATCAAGGACGATATGCTTTCCATAGTTACCTAAAGCGTATCCGTTTAAGGTCGTTCCCACCACGAGGGAGAGACGCAAAAGTAATTTGAACACCAGGCTCCACCTGTGCCATCCACTCTTTTGGTTCATCTTCATCTTGTACCAGCAATAAACCAGACTTGGCCGAAATAGGTTCTAGCTGACCAGGTCTCGAGTCCGGTCGAGCAGCACGATGTCCAATGCTCGTAAAGTCCCAAGCTGGAGTAGAACTTGAACTTCCTGGCTGCACAAGAGGGTATGGAACACCCTCAGAAATAGTGTCGAATTCAGGATATGATCTATGTGCTTTCTTGTAACTGCCATCTCCAGTCCCAGGCTTGCATTGTAAAGCTCCTGAAACCTTCAATGCCATATCCTTGATCTGCTCCACAATGGGAAGACAATGAGAACATGCAACCATCCTTTAAAGTTGCAAAATTATACATAAATGTTTGAGCATGTTTTATATGAAGAACACGAATAGACCGTACAATGGACAAAAATTATTTTTTTCTTAATACCATCAAATACTGTAACATCTAACTTAGCAAACAAGTCATATATGCATAATATCGAAAAGGATCAATCTTGCAGTTCCTAATAGAATACGCACAAGTATGTCGATAAGGATTAGGACTATAGATTTCCTTTTCTACTTGTAGAAATTTGTGTGCGCGCATGCTCGTTGAGATAAAAAAATATCTATACTAGCCAGTGTCTGTATCTAACTTCCACAGTTCGATGGATTATTAAAAATTATATGGGAGTGGAAAATTTATGCATCATGTCCATGTTTTCTTTGCATCATATGTAATCATATACAAAAATGAGTGACTAATGATGTAGGAAAAAATTAAAAATCAACACGTTGAACCACTCGATCAGTCGATCTAAAAGTTCGAGCTTTTAAATATGACCAAATGTATATCATTATTTCAGCACGTCCCCCTATTGGGAGGATTTATTTTTTTCAATTAAAGCTTAACATATGCACAATTAATTAAAAGGGTGGGGATGATGAGACTTGAACTCAGGACATTTGAATATTCTAATATCATGTTGAATCACTTTATCTAAAAGACAAATGTACATATTTGAATATTATCATCGATTCAACATGTTGGGACCAAGATTTTGACACATGATCCAAGATGTAGCATGACTATGTCTCCCCCACAGTTTTAAGTCCTTGTCTTTGCTAACAGTGTCCCAACTTAGAAGTTCCATTGGTTTTGCAACCATACCTTCTTTACATGTGGTCCTCTCCTCCCCATGAGCAAAAAATTCATATTTAGGTCCCAAACAATTCTTTAGGGTGCGTTTGATTTCATAAGAAAGAGGATAGAAAGAAAATGACAGATGATAATTCTTCATTTTCCATTGTTTTGTGAAAAAAGAGAGGCTCAAATTGATTGAAGAATATTTTCCATTGCTTGGGGAATGTACATCATCATAAATGACACATAAAATTTGCGAGAAATGAAATGTCGACTATTCGATAGATGGAACTCATTATAATTTCTTGTTCCAATATGGGACGTAAACAAAAACAAGGATAATTTGTTTGTTGGTATTGGGAAAATAGGAGGGAATGTGCTTTTCCATCCCAAAACAAAGGGGAAATTCAAGTTACTTCTACCATGAAAAAGACCATTTCGCCCATTTTTTAATCCCAGTCGACACAAAAGCCTAATGCAAAAACCACCTAGTCCAACCAAACAGTAAAAATAAGAATAACATTTACATGGGGGCCCACAAAAGGAAACTAAAAATTGGACCCCACCATTGGAGATGGGAAAAGCAACAGTAGTATTGATTAGAATAGATACTTTTATTTGTCTTCACGAAGAAGAAAAAAGAAACTGACAGAGAAAGAAAAGAAGCAAAGCAGAAATCCTATACTATCCTATGCATGTATAGATACAGATGTACGTACGTATAGGTTTTCCAGGGGGTGGGGTAGCGTAGGGGGGTTAGATTTAGAACCTGTGTAGTCAGGCTTTTGACGGCGGGAGTCCCACGCGAGCCTTCATCTTCTCCTTCTTCGTTTCTTTGCTTTGAGCACGTAATACACGTCAACATCTTTATCACCTTCTTCTTCGACTGCTGCTACTTCTTTCTTTTTCTTTTTATCTTCTTCTGTGTACGGTGTACCTGCAAGAAAAAAAAATTAACTATCAAGATTCTTTAATATAATTTTAAACTCAGCAATCTGGGATAAGAATGAGAAACACAGTAGCTGTAGAAATGAATGAATGCAGAGAGTGTCGAGTTTTGAAAGCGGTTTATGAATGCAAATTCAGACAAAAAATGAAAGAGAAAATCCGTACTGTCTCTGTTCATAACAACTGATGATAGTGACTTACCTAATATTCCTCTCGACGCCTTCTTCAACTCATTTCTCTTTATTTATTTCTTCACAACCTTAGCATAAAAAAACTGAAGAACTTTATGCATAATCAATGAGTAAGAAAAAAAAAGTGATTACACACACGTGTTGATAGATATTTTCAACGAAAATAAGTGATTTTACCTCAATTTCAAAACCCCTTCAAGAATTACTCCAAACCCTTTTCAAGAACTGCTGCAAATGCCACTGATTTCTGGGATATTTTCAAATTCTTTGAATCTTCAAGAAATGTATAAATGATCGGGAAACATGCCCAAAAATGATCAAGTCGAATATCTATAAGCAGTGAAAATCTATGACTTGGGTGTAGCTGGAATGCCAGAAGTGAAATTTTTGTGGACAGAATATTCTACGTTGGCGAGGCTCCGGCGACGATCTGGGTTTTTTTCCGTTATTGAGGAGATTCAAAATGGAAATTTTCGAAATGTCAGCTGCGGGCTTCACGTTATAATTTATAAAGAAACGCCATGTCCACAGGTGGGGTGGGGTGGGGTGTGAAAACTGCGTGTATATGGAAATATAGAGGCATAACGCCGTCAGATCTCTCGTCGTTATCTAACGGAAATTATACTATAGTGTACTGTATTACCTAAAAGAGTTGTACAATATGCTATAGAAGTCGTGCGAAATGCATCATTAGTTGCACCGTATGCTTACAAAATCTTGGTCTTAAGGACATGAGGGACCCAGCAATCCAGTGATGGAATGCGTATTGTGATACGACACGTGGCATGACATTTTTTGGATGGAGTATGAGGGTGATCTCAAACGAACCATGAACAATCAAATCATATTCTTTAGTGTAATACCACATTTTCACTAGTAACACCATTCTCAAACTTTGATGGGTGTCGATTGTCACAAGATATCTCTCTCTACATCTTAATTTGTATCCATTTTTAATGATATTATGCATGGATCAAATGGCAAATTCTTCAGGAAAAATTGTATCTCCCGCAATGGAATCTGATAAGTGAGATTTCGAGTAAATATTTATATAATCTTCTTCCGCCCGTAGAAGTAACTCATCAAAATAATGAGTCACCATTGATATCGACAACTAACAATTGTTGTCAGATATTTATATATACGTGTATATGCTTTATGTAGATACGTATTTACAAATGTTGTAAAATTGACGAAATTCATTAGAGACTAAGTAATAAAATATTAGGAAATTATTGTTAGTCTCTCTATCCTTTCAATTAATATCATGTTGGGTCTTCAATTTTTAAAAGTGATTTTCTAAGTTTTCATGTAATAGAAATAGTTGCATGCGACATCTCGTGACCTAAAACTAGACGACAAAATCGTTAGACCACTTAACGTCAAGCTTTAAATAACGTCAAAATCACGTGCAATTTTATTTCATTGGAATTATCATTTACACCATGTTTGATATTCATTCTTCTAAAAATACATTTTTCTCTATCTTATTTTCAACCACATATTTTTCAATAAAAATGATATTACACGTAAATCCAAAACTTTTTTATTTTTTAACATATTTTTCATCAAATCATTATTTAAAATGCATTCTTGGGAGAATAGTGTGCATCAAACATGGTGTTAATGTCATATGCATGTCACATTGGGTAGCGTTTTAGTACCAGTAATGTTAATAACATTAATCTTTGCTGAAAAATAGACTTTCGGTGGATTTATATTAAAAAGTTAATAAGTTTTTTTAAAACTTTATCAACAATTTTAACTAAATCACACTAAGCTCTGTTTGATAAGGATTAAAATCTAAATTTTAATTTAAGTCAAAATAATAAATAATTTTAACCCATAAATTGTAATCCCCTATTATATTATTTTTTATCAAAATTTTTTAAAATTTGATTTTAATTTTCAAGAAATAGGGGTTAAGTTTAGTTTTAACGGAAAAAAAGGAAAAAAAAAAGAAAAAAAAAAGAAAAATGGAGTGGTTAAAATTACTACAAGAATTGTCCAATCAAATATGAATTTGGTTGACCGTTGACCTCACTATTAGTGAATTGAAGTACACAAAAAATCCTAATTGGAATGTAGCAAAGATCTTTCAATCTCTGTCTAAAGTAAGATTCTAATTCTAACCCTAGTTTCTAACGTCTATTTTTGTCTCATCTAATATTTAAACGTGCACAATCACAACAAATGTTTTAACTGAGTACCGGCTGTGACCGTTCACTGCTTACAAATTCTTGGGCAGAGATCCTCCAATTTTCACCCTCAGGTGTTACCTGCACTTGTCGGTTGTCAGCCGGGGGGATGCCGTGTGTGTGAAAAAAATTGCACAGTTGGTTCTTAACATATTGCCTTAGTAGCAAGTTAGTCCTTAACATTTACGAAGGAGAGAGATTGGCTAACTTTCATTATAATTATACTATCGATCTTTATGGACATACCTATATCATTCAAATATTTGTTAAATTGTCATGTAATTCTTATAACAATATGTATGACTTCACAGGGGCTATGTATCGATTTAACAGAGATTGAAATAGTTTTTGCATTTAAAAGTTGATTGTGTAACTATGGCGTGATATTGGAGATTAGTTTGCTCATTTCAAAGGTTAGTATCAAACTTGCTCGTGCAGTAACAAATCGATTAACAATAGTGTGTTTATACATGTTACGCCTTTGAAGTCGATTTCAACAATATATTTGATACATTCATTTGCACTTGTACAAAATACATGTTTATCATCTCTCCTCGGGAAACAAGTGAGTTGTATCTTTGCAAAATTGTGCTCGTCATTAGTTGGGGAAAGAATCCGCACGAATCAAGTTTTTTGAGGAACATAGAGAACTTAATTTGGTTAGATAATGTGTGCTTTCTTCTTTTTCTTGATACATTTGACGGGTCAATTTAAAAAAAGAAAAGGACTTATCTTTGAGTTCCTTTAGTCAACAAATAAACATATGACGTGCCTCTTGCTAGCCGACTCAAATATGCTAGCAATAGGAACGGATGGACGGGGGTGGGGGGCCCTTCCCCAACTAATTTTTTTTCAGTTAGAAAAAAAAAATTATGTTAAAAAAAAGTATGTGTAATTTTTTATTTTTTTTTACGTATTAGCTCGACGTGTAATCCGGTCCTGAATCCGTCCTTGACTAGCATTATAATGCATTTGTGCCAAAGAGGAATTAGATTTGAGTAGCTTTTAATTTGTATGATCTGTCCCTAGCTTTATTCCTTTGGAGGCTAACCACTCTTTAAGCAAAGAAAAATGCTTGGAATAACGAGACAACTACACAAAATCCCCATACTCGTGCAAGTAAATTTTGTCTCTGTATTTCTCTCTTAAACAAAAGGGTTTTAAACACGTGGCAACCCACAAGAGCCTCAGCTTTTTCTCTTAACATTTTCTTAACCAAGAAAAGCATATGTAGTCAGAAAAATACAAAATGAAAATTGCATTGTTGGTCCTCAATCTATTGCATTAACAGAAAGTTGGTTCATTTCCAACGAAAATCGTCTCACGTCCTTCGTGAAAGCATATCTTACTTCAATTTGGAAAGCGCCAAAATCTAGCTTTAAATTAGATGTTCGAGGGTTATACAATAAATTTGAACACATGTGATCATTGGCGACTGATTGTGTGACTAAAATAAAAATTTGAGGACAAACTTAAATCTTTTTAAAGATGAAGACTAACTTATTATTTGCTCAATAGGTGGGATGGAAGTTAAAATGAACGTGGAGAACTTTTGCAATGGTGATATGCTTTTCTTTCTTGATCTGCTGTGTATGCGGCAGATTTGTTAAGTGGGCGTGGCCAATAATTTTAAGAAGCAGAAAATTAATGTTGTATTATGGTACAAGGGCAAGAACAACTGCATGGGACCATGATGCTGTCTTGACTAGACGGAACAACTTTAATTCAAAGTAGATGGGTTAATAATTCTTATTTTTTTATCGGGAATTATACGCGTACGTACTTTTATAAGTACAACGATGTAGAATCCAACATTGATATATGATACGTCACCTCTCAAATTAGTCTATTATTAAATAGTTCAAACTTAGTTGTATATGAATTTCATGATCATTTTATAATTATTCGGTTTATTAAGTGGTAATATCCATCACATACGCCTTTCCATTTTTAGGAGTCGGATTTTATACCCTCCCTAATTTGAAACTCAATGCTTACATTTTTCATTATAATGAATTTGTATGATATATGTCCAACTAGCCTATCATTTAGATGGATTTTTAAAAACAATAAAGTGTACAAAAGCACCTCATAATTCTTTCACTTAGAACCCGTTTGACAGGATTTTTAAAAAGTAAAACAGTTGTTTTTGAACATATTTATATATTTTTCTAAAACCCTTTTGATTAAAAGAATTTTTAACGGAAGCTAACATAAGATAACTTCCTCAGAAAACGGAAGCTCTTCTACAAGAAAAGCAAAAGCAGAAATTCTGTAATATGAACCCTTATAAGCTAATAATAAGTTACCCCACCCCACCTAGTACCCAGACAGGCAAGACCCACAAAATCAATATATATAAATGAACTCAAAGTTTGAATGGAAGCATATGTTTTGTCCAGATTAGACTTCCCTTTAACGTTTGGAATGTTCACAAGTGTAAGCAAATACAACATGAAGAAGAAATGAAAAGTGATTGAAAAAGCCATTTAGTGATCATCAATCTGTAAAGTAATCTCAATCTCAAT